TTAGTAGAGGTTTTACGGCGCTCGCAACTGCATAAGGTCACATGAGCGCCAGAAGATTAGAGGTGTTACAAGAGAGTAACAAACATAAAAAAGAAGAAGGGGAGATAAAGACGATAGACGTTTGATAGGAAAGAAGAAGCAAACCACACCAGAGCACGCGCCAACCACCCACAATTCCGAGTCTTCTGCGTTCGACCTATCCTTGTTATACTGTATGTTTGACGCTTAGCAGACCAGAGACAAAATTTCTGCACATTACAAACATAATATATTCACAAATCAGAGACTTTGATTCGCATGTTCCTCATTATGCATATTGTTGCTAGCCTTTTGTAAGTAAGTAAGTTTATTCAGTGCTTTAATTAAGGCCACTGGCCCACATCATCATCATCATCATCATCATCATCATCATCATCATCATCATCATCATCATCATCATCTAGTGCCAGATCTGCGACAGACATCGGCGATCATGGTTCTCCATTCATTCCTTTGCTCGGATGCTAAAAAAAAAGCTACGTTTTCCTAATCCTTTCCTGTTACCCATTTGTTTTGGTTCCCTAAGTATGTTGTTCTGGGCCTACCCCTGCCTCGCTTGCCCTCAATTTTGCCAGTGAGAGCTAGATGTTCAAGACTCTTATGTCTATTCAGGCCCACATCACATCATATAAAACCCTCACAATTTGTTGAATAAACTTTCCATAATGAAAATGCTAGCCTTCAAAAGTCTCAGATAAAGAGAAAACACAATTGACAGTCTTTACGAATATTGAATCGTATCCATACAGTATTTACCTAAGTTCTTTCATTAACAGCGTGAGTTCAATGAGTGAAAATTATACCTGTGACCACCCGGGTGATCCCCCACCGCCCAGCAAAATGACCAAATCGGCTCGGTGGCCTAGTGGTTAGGCAGGCGGACTCATTATCGTGAGATTGTGAGTTCGGGGGTTCGAGCCTCAGGTCGGTCCGACTTTGTGTCCTTGGGAAAGACACTTTACACGAATTTCCCACTTGGCTCGGTCCTTTCGGAGATGGACGTTAAACTCTGAGGTCCCGGCTCTTAAATAACCTAATAGTGTTGAAAGGGGCGTTAAACCTATACCATTTCACAATTTTCACCAAATCGGCCACTAGTGAGTCAGGTCACGACCTATGTTCCCAATGACTAATCTAACTTGTGTTGATGGGGGCGTAAAACACTTACCATTTTCCGATTAATCCAAAAAAAAAAGCTGAGTCAAACAGAAGCTGTGATTAAAGAATCGTTTGGTTGACATTTTCTTCTTTGATGTTGGGGTTTTAAAAAAAATCTTTTTGGTGGGTGGTTGGCGGGTGCTCTGGTGTGGTTTGCTCCTTCTTTCCTATCAAACATCTATCGTCCTTATCTCCCCTTCT